TTATATAAATATCCATATAATCAGAAAACGAATATAATATTAGATGTCCCAAAAAAAATTATACACACTTGGAAAGGAAAAACTCAAAGATATTGTAATTAATTAAATTTACTAAGACATCTTAGATTAATATCTATATTTACCATTTAATTGGAATTAAGACTTGATAAAATATGTAAAAATGGAATAATTTATAAGGAATATATTTATAAATACCTCGACAATTTTTTAAATAAAATTAGCCAAAGTATTCCGTGGGATTTTTAAAAAATTTTATTAATTTTTTTAAGGAAAAACAATGTAATGCCATCTTTTTTTTAATTGTACTACAAATTAAAGTGTTATCTCAAAACTGATAAAGTATGGAAAACAGAATTTTCCTTTTTATTTGAATTCTATTTTTCATCTTAATTGCAGTTTTTTTCATTCAATTTCTCTTGACAAAAAAATATACCATAACAAAGTTAGGGATCTACTGTACAAATGAATCCGTTTCTAAATTAAATATAGAGTTATTAAATAGTAGGATTTCATAATAAAAATAATCGTGTTTTAAATTCAAAAAAAATTATTTTTTCGTATGTGTAAAATCAACTTTACTGATCCAAAATATTATTTTATTTTTAAATGACCACTAAATTTTTTTTTAAAGAAATAAAAAAAAAAATAATAAAAAAAAGTATATAAATATTTCAATATCTTAGCAAATTTTTTTTTTTTTTTTTTTAAGCATTTCACCCCAAGCAAGGCGGGAAGCCACTAGGACGCAAGGGGTTACCGAAAATAGGAAGATCAGATAGGAGTGATATATGAAAGGATGAGGGTAGTAGATAGATTAAGGCAACTGGAGATGTCGATTGACATTACACTTGAATAGCTGGAGATTATAACTCACAGGGAAACAGGAGAAGGGAAGAGAGTTCCACAGGCGAGGGGTGCGAGACATGAAGCTATTAGAGTAGAAGAGACGGCTACATTTAGGAGTTTCGACAGTGAAGGGGTGAGAGCGGGATGCCAGCCTCGTAGGGCGCTTGAACTCATGAAGTCTGGGAACCAGCGAATGCAGCTCCTCGGAGCGATTTCCATGAAAGTATTTGTAGAACAGACAGAGGGAGGCGACGGTGCGTCTGTGAGAAAGTGACTGTAGACGAGACGCCAGGGCAGGGCCAATTATATTGCATATCCGCTTCTGGAGCCTATCAAGAACCCCGAGGCAAACAGAAGGGGCGCCAGACCATATATGGCAGCAATACTACATGCAAGGGCGAATTGTGGATTTGTATATCTGGAGGATCGACTCAGGGGAGAAAAACTTCCTAGCGCTGCTCAGGGAGCCATTTTCTTTTTAACTATGGAAAAATGATTTTTAGCCTGTCGGTCAGCCATTTACATAAGCATGTAGATAGGTTGCTCTGTTCAATTTGTATTCGATAAGTCCTGTGAGTGTCAAATTTTCAAACCTTTCCTCATTATGTGTCCCATAAATTTCAGCTGTCTCTGATAGATAAGTTACTTAATCTAAAAACTTCAGATAATGGTTCAGTTTAGCATGGTGCTCACTTTTTTGGCCTTGTGCCAGGTTAAGACGTGTTAAGTCTTCACCGCCAATATTTATTTCTGTTAGACCATATGATGTAAATTGGGAATTTTGTTCAGGATTTTTCTTTTCTTTTTTTTTTTCTTTTTTCGTAGCATTTTTCTACCATTCGCTACCATTAAATTGCAGAATTGCAATGGAATATATAAAACTGAAAAAGCCTAAATTTGATAACTCTCAGTGGCAAAATTCCAAGAAGACCAACTGATCTTTTGCCAGAATTTACAAAAAAAACTCATTAAATCTTTCAAATTTACCATTTTTATTACAAATGCGTATGCCTTCTTTTAATCGTTCCTACCCCCCAATCTTGCCTTAAAGAAAAAAAAAATCACTTCCTCTCACTTTAGTTTAGTGGAGACGTTTGGCCTCGGAATCTTTACCACAAGGGGAGTCTTATTTTTTTCGATTGACTTTAGATTGCATTAAAATTAAAAATGTACTGATTCCAAGAAATGTCTTTCGATTATTCAATTGTCTGAAATTCTAGCAGGAACTCATTACACATTATTTGACGAGTATCTTTATCTTTTATTTTTTATTTATTTTTTTTTTTTTTTTTGTATTTGACACTAAATCATGTATCATTACGGTAGGACTACTTTTTATAGAGTGAATATATATTATATGAATAACACATATATATAGGACCAGGTTTTCGACACATAAATTTAACGACAAATAGGGCGTTATTTTTTGAAATGTATATGGTTATGCATATTTAAGAACCAAATTATTTACGGATGACTTTTGAGGTTCGATGAATTGGGTATCCTTGAAAACTTTCTTGTGAATTTATCTATCAATACATCTTAGATTTTTATTGATAAAATATATCGATTTCAATCTTCTGACGAATCAAATTATGATTTTTAAATTAATGATTGAATTTTGTAAAAAACAAATGAGTTATAAATGAATGATAAATTTGGACGAGCGGCTGAACGATCAAACTTCTAATGGAGAGGAACCCAAAAAAATTCTACGCTTTTTAGGAATTATTCTTTTTCAGGAAGGTAATGATATTGAATCTATATAATAATAAAAGGGCATATTTTTGGCAAAAATGTGATCTCGGAGATCCCACGTTAAAATTATATAATTACATCGGTGATGTATTTCGTTAAGCGGGGGGTTGACTGAATACCGCTCATTGAGTTGGTCAGTCAGTCGATGCTGGACGACCGTTAGTATAATCTTTAAAATATCAGCGACCAAAAAGATTTTGTTCCGTTATACCTCTTATATTTTTTTCCTAACGCTTTGTACGTGTTCCTGTTTTAGGACCGAAACTTAGTACAAATACAATGTTCTCCTCCAATTTGAAATCACTCCATAACATATTCAAATTTTCCTGCATTCATCATCATTGACATATAAAATCAAGGTTCGAAGCGTTCCAAGCGATAACATCGAGAAAAGAAGGTGCTCAATATTCTATGTTTTAATCAAGATCTCGCGTATCGTGCGTTTCCCAAATTTTTCACTTATAAAAATGATTTTTATCATGTATCTCGTGTATCATTTCGAGTTCTTTTTTTCAGAGACCAAATTACAATAGACTAACCTCTTTTCTATTCTAATTCTTTATCCCATCTTTTAGTTAAATCATTTAAAAAAAGTAAAACATAAAATAATTTGTATATTAGTAAAAGATATACTCGTTTTTGTAAACGCGTACAGCCATAAATAACCGAACGAGAAACAGCGAGACATCTTATAAACAAACAATAAAGAAGATGCATAACAGCTATGTTTGTTTTTATTTTACTTTACTAATATGTGAAATATTACATGCATTATTATTGTATTTTTCAGTTTAATCAAAATCCTTTTTTATTTTAAATACAGCTGTCCTTTGGAATCTGAAAAATGGATATAAGTTTAATTCAAAATGAGTAGCCAGGACCATTGGTATTCATATGAATAATTTTATAATACGTGTATAATGCGACCCCGCTTAATCCTAGAACACTAACCATCAATTAAAGTTACATCACTACTAACCATGGGTATATCATTGTTGATTTTGAAAATAAAAAAAAAAATATTAAATATAAATCTTTATTTGAAATATTTTACATGCAGGCACTTCAAACTTTGTACTTTGAGTTAACATTAATAGGAACTGAAAAAATATTATTTGAAATATATGGTCTGGAGCCCCTTCTGTTTGCCTCGGGGTTCTTGATAGGCTCCAGAGGCGGATATGCAATATAATTGGCCCTGTTCTGGCATCTCGTCTACAGTCGCTTTCTCACAGGTGCGCCGTCGCCTCCCTCTGTCTGTTCTACAAATACTTTCATGGAAATTGCGCCGAGGAGCTGCATTCGCTGGTTCCCAGACTTCATGAGTTCAAGCGCCCTACGAGGCTGGCATCCTGCTCTTACACCTTCACTGTCGAAACTCCTAAATGTAGCCGTCTCTTCTACTCCAATAGCTTCATGTCTCGCATCTCTCGCCTATGGAACTTCCTTCCCTATTCCAGTTTCCCTGAGAGCTATAATATCCAGCTATTCAAGTGTAATGTCAATCAACATCTCCAGTTGCCTTGATCTATCCAGGTTAACCTTCTCCTCATCCTTTTCTTCTATCACTCCTATCTGATCTTGCTCCAAATTTTCTGTAACCCCTTGCGTCCTAGTGGCTTCCCGCCTTGCTTGGGGTGAAACGCTTAAAAAAAAAAAGAAAAAAAAATGTATTTAGGTAAGAAAATCAGGTATTGAAAATTGTAATTAAAAATAGGAATATCGTGTTCTAGTGTTAAAGTTAGGTTCAAAATTAAGTTTTTAAACAAATCACATGATCTTACGCAAATATATTTTGTCTTCATTAATAAAATATTGTAATAAATGTATAAATGAATTAAATTGGAGAATAAAAAATTTTTTTTTTCCATTTCATTATTCAGACGTCAAATGCATGAAAGCGTTTTTCAAATCCTTCTTCTATTTCCCCTTTCCTTCTCTCTCTCTATTTTCTATTCAATCTCTGTAAATTTTTCTCTCTGTGTCTTATGAATGTCTTCTAATTATTGAAGTGTCTCTGTCTCTCTCTCTTTTCTCTATGTATCTCTCTTTCTCTCTTTTTTCTCATCTCTCTTTTTCTATTCTCTCTGTATATATTTGAATCACCTCTTTTTCATATGTTTCTCTTAATTTTAATTTTCTCTTTTTCTATGTCTTTTCTCTTTTTTTTCTGAATCTGTCTCTCTATTTTTCTCTGTATATCTCTCTCTAGAATTCTCTATTGTCTCTGTATTTCTGATAAAAAAATGTCTCTGTTAAACTCTCTTTCTATATAAATATAAATTCTCTCTTCTTTCTCTCTGTGTCTCTGTCTTTCTTTTCTTTTCTCTTGTGTCTGTTTTTATTTTTCTCTGTGTCTTGTTCTTTAAAACCAAATGATTTCTCTATTTTATTTTGTTTCTTTCTTTTTTATTCTTTTATATTTATTTATTTCTTTTTCGTTCTTTCGTTTTTATTCTTTATTTTTCTTTTTCTTTTTCTCAATTCTTTCGTTCTTTCGTTCTTTCTTTCTTAATTCTCTACACGTCCTTTTATTGCTGGAACTAAACAGCATCTCAAATACATCTTCTTTTTTTCCTTTCTCGCAAGCAAAACGGAAATGGTCCATTATTTATCTGAGACAATGGCAGAACGTAACTTATATTCCATGGAACAAACAGAATTCTAATATGAATAGAAAGATCCGTGAAAGTTTTACGTTTTCGTATTTGAAGTTTCTGCTCGTCTTGTCTCGACTATGATATTATTATGCAAAACTTGTTTCAGCAATCAAACAGCGCAATCTTCTCTAATGACGTCTTGCTTCTATTAGTGCAATAGGTCGGTACCAATTACGAAAAAAAAAACCCTGCTCACTACTGCTCAGTCGACGGGGACAAGAATACTCTGTTTTCGTCCTTTGGACAAAAAACCTGGAAGGGGCTGCCTACCAGGTGAATACTTGAGGACTGTTGTATGGACAACCAGTACTTACCTATATAGTGACGTATAATTTTTAATTGAAATATACTTCGATTTAACGTCCCTAGATTTAGTGAATCGTGGATTATTTGAGCCATGACGAACAGATTTTTTTTAAGAATCGAAGTTAGGTAAATGCTAGCACAAATTATTTATCAAGTCTGTGTTAAGGTACTAGCATAGTACCCGTCAAAACTTACTTACGTATGAAGCTTTGGAAATTTCTAAGCCTCCATTAGGAGTACAAAGTAAATTACTGTGGAGATTACATTTACAGCACCACTTTCAAAAATTCAATCGACATAAACAAGGACAGGAATGTACGATTGTTTTATTTTATATTTTAATAATAATAATAATTATAAGTAATAATTATATGTGATGATCATTATGAGAGGAGATAATATTAAAGATAATAATTATAGTAATGATAATAATAACATTAAAAAATGATGTTGATTATGATAGTAATACTAATAGTGATGATGATAATAGTATTAATGATGATTGTGATGATGATAACAATAGTAATTATGATGGTGATAGTGATGATAATGATAAGTCATAATAGTAATGATGATAATGATGATAATAATAGTAATAAGTCATGATAGTGATGATGATAACAATAATGATGGTAATAAGTCATGATAATAGTGATTATGATAATAGTGACGATGATCATCATAGCAATAGTAATAATTGTAAATAAGTCATGATAGTGATGATGATAACAATAATGATGGTAATAAGTCATGATAATAGTGATTATGATAATAGTGACGATGATCATCATAGCAATAGTAATAATTGTAAATAAGTCATGATAGTGATTTGATAACAATAATGATGGTAATAAGTCATGATAATTGATTATGATAATTTTGACGATGATCATCATAGCAATAATAATAATTGTAAATAAATCATGATAGTGATGATGATAACAATAATGATGGTAATAAGTCATGATAAAGTGATTATGATATAGTGACGATGATCATCATAGCAATTAATAATTGTAAATAAGTATGATAGTGATGATGATAACAATAATGATGGTAATAAGTCATGATAATAGTGATTATGATAATAGTGCGATCATCATACAATTTTTAATAATTGTAAATAAGTCATGATAGTGATGATGATAATAGTGATGATGATAGTGATTAGTAATGATGATTATGATAATAGTGATGATGATAATAGTGATTACGATAATAATTATGATGATAGTGATAATAGTAATGATAATAATAAGTCTAGCGTGATGCGTATTTCAAATTTGAAGTCACTAATTAGCGTTTGTTTTGCGGTGTATAAATATATCAGATAAAAAATCATTGCCTATTCTGACTCTGATGAGCGATGTGATGCGAAACTCTTGTGTCGGTCAATGAGAGAAGTTCATTGAATATTCATTGATTTATTGAATATTACAGTTTTTTTTTATATAACATAACGTTGTTAATTTTTCTGTTGACTGTACTGGACGTAACAATGTTCATTAAATACGGGATTCTACAAATATAGCTTCTCCTTTACGAAACGATGGATTTTATCGGATTTAAGGAACATATTCCCCCACCACCCCTAACCTACCAATCCAATTAGTTCTTTAAATCGAGGTTTTATTATAAACCCCTTTTGACATTGAACAATGTAGCGCGGGTTTTCAGTCGGCTGCGTATTATACAAGATAAACGCGCTGGGCCATAATGTCTCTTTCGATTTATGATGAAGCAGAAGGTTTTCCTGAAGTAGGTTGACTTTTCTTTCTGCAGTAGACTGGTTGCCAAGCAAAGCTATAAGACCCAGTCTGTCCTGCTACAGCTTGTAAGAATAAATAGGTAACGTGTGTGCATTGGAGTTTCATGGGAATTTGGAAATCTAAAATGTCCCCAAACCTATAAATATGAACTTTGAGGTTAAAATGAAGTTTTAGAAATAAACATTGTTTTCACAAATCATGTAATTTTGGGATAGGAGTTTGTTTGGCAGAGAATGATCTTATTATAAATTGTTACTATTGGACTATTTTATAGGTACTAAGGACAATTTGTTCATGGCTGTGGCCCAATATAACCAGACCTTTTGATGACCAGAAAATATTATTCGTGCCGGATCAGACCAAAAAGCCATGGGTGACCAGAATTCCGTTTATATGCCGTGTCTGACCAATCCGCCATGGGTGGCCCTACCAGCAATGTGGTTCTGACGGCATGTTCCTGACAGGAACACGTTATATAATTTTTTTAAACCAGATGAGGAGGGGTAAGAAAAATATTTTATAAGATTACGTTTTTATAACAATATCACCTTACCTGGGGTGAATTCAAAAAAAACAATTTATTGCAGAAAATCTTAATTTCAGTGTGAGTTTATCCAATTGATATTCGTGGGTAACTCATCCAAAATCTGTTAGTCCTGACGATAAACAGCATCCGCGTCCTGGGTAAGACGATAAACTACATCCGGCAGCAAGGCCTCTGTTCGGAAGATTTTGAGGAGCGTGGGGCCATCTCTTAATTGCTGTTTTTCCCAAGTCCACCCTGACCTGGGGAGGTAGCAGCTGTTAGGATCCCGGCTATGGTAAAACCCCAAACAAAAACAAAACCTTATAGTAAAAAAAAAAAAAAAAAAAAATACGAGCAATAACTATTTATAGCAGAACTGTAGCTGAAGGCTTCCAGTTGCATTCAAAATATTTAGATTTCGGCATTAAATAACCTATAGCGGTTGATATGTCGCTAAACAAAATCAGCGAACCAACAAGGGTTGTCCGTAAAGTACAAACATTTACTAATAAATTAGTACAAAATAAAACAAAGTGCATATGTTACCAGCAGCATTATGTTACATTTCCGCTGAGTTGGCTTCGAGAGTGATGCGTTTCTTCATCCGGGCTACTTACTCGCCATAATGTTAGATTAGATTAATCTTTCTTTCTCCCATGTGCATAAATGAGAAAGAAAGAAAAAAGGACAATTGACGTAAGGGTGCATCTAGCGACAATGTTACTGGAAGTGCAATTTCTCTGCACTGGATTGATGCACTTGCTACTTCCGGTTATTTACTCGCCTCCCCAAAATTTGATACAGGGTCGTCTTTTATAGCGATTTTCCAAGCATAGCTTAAGTGTGGCACAGGGCATCCAATGAGGATGTAATTGTTCTAGCGAGACAAGCTTGTTAACCATTACACTGCCTCGAGGTACCCAAATGATTTTGTAAAGGTAGCTTAGATGTGGTACAAGGCCGAAAGTAGTGGGCACCCAGTGAGGATCGAATTCACTACTCAGTCCTAATTGTTCTAGCTTGACAAGCTTGCTAACCATTACACCGCCTAGAGGTGCCCCAAATGATTTTGTAAGGGTAGCTTAGATGTGGCACAAGGCACCCAGTGAGGATCGAACTCACTACTCAGCCGTAATTGTTCTAGCGAGACAAGCTTGCTAACCATTACACCGCCTCGAGGTGCCCAGGGTTGTCTTTTCTATATGTAATATAAATGCCTTCAGGGGCTTGCGTGATCCAATAGCTCTGAGAACGACGCCTAAGTTCTAAACTCCTGGTAGGGGTCACCATTTAGCGACAAGATCGAAGACGAGGACCCAGACTAAGCGCGATCAACCCCAACGTCGGAACCAGCGGATGAAGAGGGCTACGCATGTTGGACAAGCTACAGAAGGCGCCACTCGGAATTATAACAGTCAGTGGCAGCCCGTTGCGATTTCATAGCTGGATTCTTCATGTCTCATTCTATATGTGCCGCGGGGGAAAACTCCTGAAATCAACTGTATGGGTCACTTCCTAGAAAGCTGAGGTCCACCTTAAATTAAATTCACCTTTTCACCTCCAACCAACTCTAACAATGTCAAACGACGATAGGAAATAGATGATGGAACTGGTTTTGGCGGTAAATGTAGTCATCGACGCCATTATCATTAATGAAGCGATCAGCAAAGAAGAAATTAAATTCTTGGATACGAAATAAAGCCGAAAACGCCATTAAATGTCTTGTTATTTTAATAGAGAATTGCCGATCAGCAATGCTATTGACAAAAGTCTCTGTGTATCCTGATATTTTGTAGGGAATGGTATATTTGCCTTCGTCTGTTAATAAAGTCTGCAACAGTAAAAGAATAGCCCGTTTGGTACCTTGAGCCTTCACCAAAGTAGGAAGAGACCCTGAGAAGATGAGTTTTTTTTTTTGTTTTTTTTTTGTACCTCAATCAGTGGAAGTAGCAGATAGAACCTGTCTATAATTTTGGCAACAGTTTAAGTAGGTAAAAAAGAAAAAAAAATGAAAAAAAAAACAGGAAAAGGAAGGAAGGAAGGAAGAGAACCTTTGCCGAAAGGAAATAAGTGTCAGGGCATTGTGGGATAAATTTGTATATATTACTGTTTTCTCTTTTTGTATAATTTTTTTTTTTTTTTTTTGTTCTTTTCTCTCTCTCTTTTTTTTTTTTTTTTTTTTTTTTTTTTCGTTAGTTGCCTACGATAGTTGTACTTTATTTTAAGGACTTCCTCGGAAGTGGTTGCATCAAGATGATGAGACATGCCTTGGGAATTGCAAACGTTAAGATAATTAAACATGTTAGTCAATATTGCTGCAGTGATGAACTCCAGACAAGAGGCATCATTTTTCTCCCTTTTCTTTCTTTCTCTCTCTCTCTCTTTATTATTAGTTTCTCTCTCTTTATTGTTAGTCTCTTGTTTTTCTCTCGCTCTCATTTTAGTCACACACAGTACTTTTTCTTTCTCTCTTTCCATTCGTTCTCTCTCTCTCTTTCCATTCGTTCTCTCTCTCTCTTTCCATTCGTTCTCTCTCTCTCTTTCCCTTCGTTCTCTCTCTCTCTATATTTCCATTATTTTCTCTCTCTCTTTTCATTCGTTTCTCTCTCTCTCTCTCTTTGTTCTCTCTCTCTCTCTCTCTTTCTCTCTTCTCAAAAATTTCGTTCTCTCTCTCTTTTTTTTTTCTCTCTCTCTCTCTCTCTTTTTTTCTTCGTTCTCTCTTTCCCTTCGTTCTCTCTCTCTCTTTCCCTTCGTTCTCTCTCTTTCCCTTCGTTCTCTCTCTCTCTTTCCTTCGTTTCTCTCTCTCTTTCCTCTTTCTCTCTCTCTCTTCGTTCTTTCTCTCTCTCTCTCGTCCATTTCTTCTCTCTCTCTCTTTCTCGATTCTCTCTCTCTTTATTCGTTCTCTCTCTCTTTCCCTTCATTCTCTCTCTCTCTTTTATATTTTCTCTCTCTATAGATCTTCATTCTCTCTCTCTCTTTCCCTTCGTTTCTCTTCTCTCTCTCTCTTTATTTTTTTCTCTCTCTCTCTTTTTCCTTTTCTCTTTCTCTCTTTCCCTTCGTTCTCTCTCTTTCGTTCTTTTCTCTCTCTCTCTTTCCCTTCGTTCTCTCTCTCTTTCTCCTTCGTCCTTCGTTCTCTCTCTCTTTCCCTTCGTTCTCTCTCTCTCTTTCCCTTCGTTCTCTCTCTCTTTCCCTTCGTTCTCTCTCTTTCTGAAAATTCTCTCTTTCTCTCTTTCTCTCTCTCTCTCTTTCCCTTCTTTTCTCTCTCTCTCTTTCTCTCTCTTTCCCTTCAATTTTCTTCTTCTCTCTCTCTCTCTCTCTTTCCCTTCTTTCTCTCTCTCTCTCTCTCTCTTTCCCTTCGTTCTTCTTCTCTCGTTCTCTCTTTCCTTCGTTCTCTCTCTCTCTTTCCTCTCTTTCTGCCTCGTTGAATTCTCTCTCTTTCCCTTCGAGTCTGAATAGTACTCCGATAGATGTAATATACACTGTTTAAAAATACAAACTGGGCAGCTATTTCAAATGCGGTTATCCACTAAATATAACATCTGAAGTAATAAAAATCTTGGATTAAAAATAAATCCATTAAATCTTTATAAAATATATCCACACATGCATTATGTCTTATTCTGCATATGCATACTCATAATGAAAAACAGAATTATATAGGATTATATTGATGTACATAATGATTTCTTCCCACTCCACAGATTTTTATGAGATTAAATATCTAAAGTAAAGAATTTTAGACTTGAATCTGCCTCCTTCCTTATTTAAGACATGAAATGTGATATGAAACGCCGTTCGAAATGTTTTGGAATTCAATTAAATTGCATCAATTTGGTGTAAAGAATTCAGTTTAGAGTAAAAATGGAACATATCGCCATCAATCAATTGAATTTAATCATAAATATCAAATATGATTGAATTATTGACAGCGTTTATATTAGTTTGGCACAAGGCTGTAAGTATGGAGCACTCGATTAAAAATCAGTCATTGTGAAACAATAATAATCAGCTACACCAAATTGTTAACCATTATATTCTAATAATGCTGTCTTTTTATCAAAATAAATGCAAAGAAATTTTACAAAGATAGTGGGGGGGAGAACGTTGAATAAAAATTAATTAGCATTTTATTTATTCAAATTGTTGCTTTTTATCTCAACACTCTGCCTCTATACACTCTTCATTATTACTATTATTTTATTACTAGTTTTATTCCATCTTATTATTGTTGCTTTTTATCCCAAAACGTCCTGGTTCGATTTTTTCATTAACCGCCTCAGTTAAAGAAATGCAATTTTAAATAATTATCTTTCTATGAGTCGAAATTGTATTCCACAATTTGGAAAACTATTTTTCTCGTGGACAGTGACTTAACCACTTCAGTCATCATCTGAGGTTGTACTTTGTCAGATGTATCAGTCATAGCGCAATTTCTGTTCGTGAATTAGTTTTTTATATATATATATATATATATATATATAATTTATTCGGAATATAACATAAATATGTTATAAAATCACTACAAAAATAGCCACTTTGTTTCAATACCCTCACTTGATAACACACCAGAAGTGTTGAAAAAAATGGCTATTTTTATAGTGATTTTATAACATATTTATGTTATAATTTTCGAATAGATTACATTTGGTCTACTTTGTATTGAGCACTTTATTTCAATAATGTTTTGTTGAATATTACAGACAAGGAAAAATTGATTGATTTTTTTTTTTTATGTATTTATTTATTTTCTAATATTCTTACATTTAATTTCTGTTTTTTTTTTGTTTTTTTTTGTTGGGAGTAAGGGAGTGTAAAAATTGTTCATAGTGTCTGTTATCCCAAATACTTTTGGACACTTCCTTAGCTCTTTTTTTAAGGTTTTCATTTTTTGTTAAGTATTGTTAATTTCTCTTCATATTTGTCTAATATGTACTTTTTGTGGTGTCTAATTAGTAGTAGCTTTATTCTGATTTGAATGTGGTTAGAATTCTATTTAAAAACAAAAAAACAACTTCAACACACCATTTCCGCTGATTAATAAGGTGAGATTTATACTGGGTACCAGCTGTTTTATATAAATGGTCTCTCACGGAAAAAAGGCAAAAAAAGTGGCCAAATCGCTTGGGACAATGGTCAACATTGACAGTTTTTCACTTCTTTACTGCCACCAACTAGAGAAATATAAGATATGTTGTGAAAAAATGAAAAATTCATCAAATTTTCCTTATATAATTTGGTAAGATTAAAGAAGTGCAAATATTTTCTGTATTTTTCATTGTCCCAAGCGCTTTCAGCTATTTCTGTAGCCATTATCAAAGGTGGTTATTTTTAAGTGTTGCTAATTCCTTTTCATGTTTGTCTGTTTAAGATGTAGTTTTGTGCCGTTTGAATTGTTGTAGCGTTTATTCCAAGTTTCTCGGGTGGAGCGTGGCTGGAATTTGAGTTGGCGTATTTCTATTTAAAAAAAACAAACCCTTCAACAGAACATTTCCGCTGCTTAATAAGGTGAGATTTATACTGGGTGCCAGATGTTGTATGTAAATACACTCCCTCACAGCGAGATCTTTTTCGTATCATGATCTATATGTGGCTAATGTTATCAACCAGAATCTTTGTCTTGTAAATTGTGGGTGGTTAAGTACCTTTTTTATGGCACTATGATCAGTTAAGTGACACTTGATCCGTCTGCTCAAGGAGGTGGTGGTATGACCGATATACTTAATTGATTTATAACAAGGAGATATCTATATATATATATATATATATATATATATATATATATATATATATATATATGGGTTGATCAATAAGTCTTTAGCCTGACAAGTAATTATTGGAACTGGGATCTGAAATTTAAATTGTATAATGTTCAATGTATGTGCTTAATATTTAATTTAATTCTTTTTTCTTCCTTGTTAATGCACTTAATTCTGTTGAAAAATTAAATTATTATTATCTACAGACTTATTGACATACC